CGATAAGCTACAAATATGTACATATACATGAGTCAAAATAAACACACAAGAGGAAGCCTTCACAAAGGTTGCTTAGGAGAAGTCTCAGCAGTCGGTTGAGCCCCAGAAAGAGAGGCACCGGAGGGGGATCATTTGGAGCCTCAGTACTGGACAGAACCCTTGAAGGAGGAGGCATCAGAGGTTGATCATTTGGAGCTTCATTACGCGGTACAGCCCCAGAAGACGAAGGCAATAAATGCCTTTGGAACAAACCCACAAATCTCTGATGATCAAGTAAAACCTGACCATCAGTTTCCTTCATCTGGTCAAGCTTCCTCTTCATGTTTGTAGCATAGTCATGTGCGAGCCGGTGCAACTGTTTATTCTCATGCTTGAGCCCTCTAATCTCCTGTTTGAGACTCATCACTTCAGCCGCCAATGATTCAACTTGGCGGGTTCGAGCAAATAGGCGTTGGGCCATATTAGACACAGAACCTGCACACTGAACACTGAGAGCCAGCGAATCCTTAACAGCTAACTCATCAGACCGTTTGGAAAGTAGTCTGTTATCTTTGGGAGTGAGAAGGTTCCTGGCCACCACCGCAGCGGTCATATCATTCTTCATCACGGAATCCCCAACGGTAAGAGGACCAGTAGGGGAGACGAAGGATGGGCGCCATATGTTGTCTGGAGAAGGCGGGGCTGCCTCCTCAACAAGGTTCAAGTCAAAACGACGGTCGGAGGGGCCAGACATTTTCAAAGGTGTTGAAGAGAGAAGAGGTCAGACAAATCAAGATCTTAGAAGTGCAAGAATGAAGTTTCTACTGGTGGAGATTCAAGTGTGCTTTGGAACTTAATGCCAGCCCCTATAAAAATCTGCACTCGACGGAGTTTCAGAAATCGAAGAGGCGCCTGCTCAGAAATCGAAGAGGCGTTTGCTTTCTCAAAAGCTGGGTTGCTTAGAGATCACGAGGGTTGATCTCAGAAATCGAAGAGGCGTTTGCTTTCTCAAAAGTTGGGCTGCTCAAAGACCACGAAGGCCGATCTCAGAAATCGAAGAGGCGCTCGCTTTCTCAAAAGCTGGGCTCCCCAGAGACCACGAGGGCCGATCTCAGAAATCGAAGAGGCACCTACTTTTCCAGCCTTTTCCAGCCTTGTCAGCACCTGTCACACGCACTCAGCTTTGCGGAAATTATGGGCATTCTGTCAAAGACTTCTGGGGAAGTAGAAAACACATGAATCTTACCGTTCAATCACCCACTTCCCACACGCAACACTAGCTCATGGGTACCACAGATAACTTTGCCAAAGTTCTCTGCCAAAGTTGAGCACGTGAAGCTTGCAGCTCCCACTACATCGCTCTGACCAAGAAGGGTAAAAGAATAGCAAAGAAACAGCACTAACAAAGTTTAGACCCATATATTTTGAAGGTCTAGCTACCATATTATTACCCACAGGGGTAAAGGAACAGTACCACTGCTGGATAATTGGAAAGTCCCTGTGTGTCAACCTCTGTGCTTCGTGGCAAGGTAGACTAGCAAACATGCCCAACCTTTGCTCACATTCGAGAAAACACTCCCAATAAGATTGCTTGCTCCAAAATCGAAGAGGCACCGTCCTCCGAATCTCGAGAGCCAGACTCCCAACATGACTACTTTCTTAAAAATCGAAGAGAGGGTAAAGGAACAGTACCATTGCTGGATAATTGGAAAGTCCCTGTGTGTCAAACTATGTGCTTCGTGGCAAGGTAGACTAGCAAACATGACCAACCTTTACTCACATTCGAGAAAACACTCCCAACAAGATTGCTTGCTCTAAAATCGAAGAGGCACCGCCCTCCAAATCTTGAGAGCCAGACTCCCAACATGATTACTTTCTCAAAAATCGAAGAGACACTGCTCCCCGAATCTCGAGAGCCAGACCCCCAGCATGATTGCTTTCTCAAAAATCGATGAGGCATCGTTCTCCGAATCAATCGAAGAGGCGCCCGCTTTCTCAAAAGCTGGGCTGCTCAGAGACCACGAGGGCCGATCTCAGAAATCGAAGAGGCACCTACTTTTCTAGCCTTGTTAGCACCTGTCACACGCACACTCAGCTTTGCAGAAATTATGGGCATTCTGTCGAAGACTTCTGGTGAAGTAGAAAGCACATTAATCTTACTGTTCAATCACCCACTTCCCACACGCAACAATAGCTCATGGGTACCACAAATAACTTTGCCAAAGTTCTCTGCCAAAGTTGAGCACGTGAAGCTTGCAGCTCCCACTACATCGCTCTGACCAAGAAAGGTAAAAGAATAGCAAAGAAACAGCACTAACAAAAGTTTAGACACATAAATTTTGAAGGTCTAGCTACCATATTATTACCCACAAGGGTAAAGGAACAGTACCACTGCTAGATAATTGGAAAGTCCCTGTGTGTCAACCTCTGTGCTTCGTGGCAAGGTAGACTAGCAAACATGCCCAACCTTTACTCACATTCGAGAAAACACTCCCAACAAGATTGCTTGCTCCAAAATCGAAGAGGCACCGTCCTCCGAATCTCGAGAGCCAGACTCCCAACATGACTACTTTCTCAAAATCGAAGAGAGGGTAAAGGAACAGTACCATTGCTGGATAATTGGAAAGTGCCTGTGTGTCAACCTTTGTGCTTCGTGGCAAGGTAGACTAGCGAACATGCTCAACCTTTACTCACATTCGAGACAACACTCCCAACAAGATTGCTTGCTCCAAAATCGAAGAGGCACCGCCCTCCGAATCTCGAGAGCCAGACTCCCAACATGACTACTCCCTCAAAAATCGAAGAGACACTGTTCTCCGAATCTCGAGAGTCAGACCCCCAGCATGATTGCTTTCTCAAAAATCGAAGAGGCATCGTTCTCCGAATCTCGAGAGCTAGATACCACAGACCACTTTTTCAAAGTGCTCTGACAGAGTTAAAACATGTGAAACTGGCAGCTTCCACTCCTGTGCTAGGACCAAGCAGGGTAAAGGAATAGTATTACTACTTGTTGTTAGGGATACTCCTATATATGTCGACCTCCATCCCCAACGGACAGGCAGACCTGCAAAAATGCTCGACCCTTCATCATATCTGAGAGGGCACTCCCAACGAAGCCTTTCGAAATATTCAGCTTTCTTTCCCCCCGATAATACCTCTGTAAACAAGCTATACTAGAGCAAGAATATCTCATATCATCAGGGTTAAAAGCAAGAGTATCCCATATCATGCTTTTTCCCTGTCTTTTCTTTTGGCCTTGTTTTTACGTGCAAGACAAGGAGAAAGAGAGCAATCAGTCAGCACTTGGAATCAAGCTTCCAGCCAGGAACTGACTGCCTGGAACCCCTTACCTGATTACTTACCTGGCATTGCTCTCGAGTACTCATCTTCAACATCTTATGTTTCCAGGGAAGATTCCGCATCTGCTTGAGGAACAGATAGGGCAAGTGCGAAGGATACAAGGAAGCATGTGGAGACAAGCGTAACAGCACACGTGCCGATACATCCATTACTCTGTCAAAAGCAAAAGTATCCCATATCAGCAGGGTGGAACGTACTCTAGATTTTGATGGACTTGTTTTGACCCTCAAATTCTTCAGTCGGCCTTATACTCTGGAGGAAACCAGAAAACCCTCCAGCTCAGTTCAAGAATAAGCCTGTGGAAAGTTACTTCTTCAAAAGCAAAAGTATCTCATATCATCTCTTCTCATTTTTCTTCTCTTTATCCTTCATGCTGCTGCAAGATGGGGAGAAGGTGAACAATCAGTCGGAGCTCTGATTGCTTACCTTGTCTGTCACCTCTTTCAGCAGACCCCCTAGCTCGGCGACTTGGGGGACTCCTACTACATGGTTTGTATCGCGCTTGACCAAGCCTGAAACTACAAGTAAGCCTCAAGTGAAATTGATACATTACCTTGTGCATCTCCACCAGTTAAAGATACCACCCCTGGATGGAGGAAGAGTACTTCCAGAGAAGCTGCCACATCTACCTATGAGACAGATAAGGCAAGTCAAGACGACACCACACTCCGATACTTAGAAGTTTCGTGATTACGAGATCATTCTCCCACAATATTTCCTAATGTCATTTGTACTAAATCATTCACTTGTACTCACTAAAGGAGAGCTTGAACCTATGTACTTGTGTAAACCCTTCACAATTAATGAGAACTCTTCTATTCCGTGGACGTAGCCAATCTGGGTGAACCACGTACATCTTGTGTTTGCTTTCCTATCTCTATCCATTTATATACTTATCCACACTAATGACCGGAGCAATCTAGCGAAGATCACAAAAAGCGACCGTTTTCGTTACCTAGGATCTATCTTGCAAGAGAATGGAGAATTAGATGGAGATCTCAACCATAGAATACGAGCTGGATGGAAAAAGTGCATCCGGCGTGTTGTGTGACCGTCGTAGGCCACTGAAGCTCAAGGGAAAATTTTATAGGACGGCAATAAGGCCAGCGATGTTGTATGGCACAGAATGTTGGATGGTGAAGCATCAACACGTACACAAAATGGGTGTAGCGGAGATGAGGATGCTTCGTGGGATGTGTGGGCACACGAGAAAGGATAAGATTGGGAATGAGGATATCCGAGGTAAAGTAGGAGTAGCCGAAATTGTAGGAAAGATGAGAGAAAATCGGCTCCGGTGATTTGGACATGTGCAAAGAAGGCCGACTGACGCTCCGGTTCGAAGATGTAACTACGGGACAGAGGTTCAGGGCCGAAGGGGTAGAGGAAGACCTAGGAAAACTTTGGAAGAGACTCTAAGAAAAGACTTAGAGTACTTGGATCTAACGGAGGACATGACACAAAACCGAGCGCAATGGCGTTCTAGGATTCATATAGCCGACCCCACTTAGTGGGAAAAGGCTTTGTTGTTGTTGTTGTTGTTGTTGCTGGCAATGTTGCCTGGAGACCTGCTTCTGGTATTCATCCATAAAACAAATCACTTTTATATTTAGAAACATGTCTTTCTTTGATGGAGAATAGTTTCTTATTTTTCACTTTAAAAGGCTTTCAACCACAGCAACTGATGCCTGGTCTTGGTGCTCGGCACATGGCACCCCCAGCTGGAGGAAGGCCACTGAAGACAGTTGCTCCTTCTCATGCTGAGGAAAAGCAGCAGGACAATTAGCGGAAACCCAGAGTACCAGAATTGGAGAAACATCTTGTGGATCAACTGAGTACAGAGGAGGTTAACTCACTGAACTCAAAGCTCAAAGAAGCAACTGAAGCTGATAAAAAGGTACTTAGAACTTTAATGTTTCCCCAATTTTCTCATCTTGAGCAGCAAAGTTATGTGTGCATGTTACTTCTTGGTAAGTGTCAAATCGTAACAAATATCCCAGAGACTTGGGGAAAGAAATCTTGGATGCTAGAGAGAAAATTGAATATTTCCGGTTCAAAATGCAGTTCAGCCATCGAACTTATAATATATCTTTTGTATTTCATTTCTTTTTGTATGCATCTCGCTTTTTCTTCATTCTTTTCTTCCCTTAGCTTGTAGCACGACATATAATTTTTCTCCTTAATTTTGGAATGTTCCTAGTCCTATTGAAGCAAAGAGCCCTATAGTTTTATCGTTGTTACAAGTTTGATGATTGTATTATTAAACTGGGGCTGTGCCTTTCTTTTTTCAGCCTTAATTTGCTGTAATTTTTTACCCTCTCTAATAAAATTTGTTTCGCTGATCATTGTTTGGTGCAAACAAGAACACTGAGTTTTGCCGGTGTTAGTCCAATCGGGCCATTCATATTGTTTGCTCATTGCAGTTCAGCCATTGAACAATCGCATATTTTTGTCGTGTTGAATGTTCAAACTATCGCGCTTGGTTGTGAGATTTTTACTTTGCCCTGGCATGGTGTGTTAATTAATGTCTATGTTTATGATATAAAGGTAAATCAAGTTTTAAAGATAACAAATAGGCTATTATACACTTGTGCATAACTAGCGCTTTATAATGTATAAAGAATAAACAATACCAAAATAATAAAAGCCTTGCCTAGTTGTTGTCTTATTTCTTGGTGAGACAAGTGAGCTATCAAAGTACAAATTTGCCTTAAAAAGTTTTTCCTAATCACTTTCATTTGCTTCAGACTCATCACTTGATCCACCACCTTTGTAATCATCATCTTGTCTTGTTTCTTCTACTTTTGGTCCCCTCGACATGATCACATGACCAATTTTGAATTTCTCAACATCTTCGGCATACAATGGGCATATACCACAGCTTTCCACCTTCATTCTCCTCGGGCAGAAGAAGATAACAGAGGCCTCTTTGGCAAGTTTGTAAACATCAGGGGAGCAGTTTTTTCCTACCTCTTCACTTCTAAAGGCCTCATTCCACACATGCACGTGATGTTGGCCGTTACTGAAGTCGATGTAACTGTTGTATTCAGAAGTGAACAGTTCATGGTTTTCACCCATGAATTTGACAATGAAATTAGCTCTTACCCTCCAGGTTCCAAACCCCACCTCTGCAATCTCTGAAAGAACAACAGAGAGAGCGAAACCAAATAAACCTGTTCGAAACCATTCTGGACAAAGCTCGATGTCTACTAAAGATCCCTCATTTTGATAGCTGAACCAATTTGGAATTTCTTTTCCTGGACATGCAATGTTAATCTGAGGCCAGGGATTACAAGGCAACCAATAGTCCTCTAATGGCGCAACAGTTGCCATTCGCATAATTGTAATCTGTGCTTCATCCATTATGTTGCTTCCTAAATTATTATCCAATTTTGGGCAATTAGTAAAAACTTTGAAACAATAATTAGGTTTATCCCAACCTTGTGCGAGTGCTGTCCTTGAACTTGACACTATCTTCAGCGACGTGCTGTTTGAAGCTTTAACATTGCATAGCACTGGGAGCTCTGGTATAGATTGAAGCCACTTGCAGTTGATTAAGTCGAGTATAGACAACCGAGAAGCTTGTTTGATGCTTGCTGGTATTTCCAATATACCGCTGTTGCTGAGATCTAGTTCTTCTAAAGAGAAAAAACCAACAGAGCAGGAAGGCAATTTTTCAAGTCTCCGACAGTCATTAAAGTTGAGACGTTTAAGATTGGTTAAACTGTAGATACTTGTTGGGACATCCTTAAGTAGATAGCAGCGACTAAGGTTTAAATCTTGAAGCCCATTTAGATTTCCAATAGACGAAGGAAGCATTTCGACAGCTGTCTCTTCCAAACAAAGAGACACCAAATGTTCCATTGGCTTCAAGATTTCAGGGAATTTGGAAAATCTATAGCAATTGGTGAGATAAAGACTCTCAAGATATTTCAACTTACAGATTGATGAGGGTAGCTCTCTAACTGGTGTTTGAATTAAACTTAAGGACTTCAAATGTTCCATTGGCTCCAAAATCTCTGGGAAGTTTTCAAATTTAGAGCACGAACAGAGATCGAGTTTCTCAAGATTTTTCAACTTACAGATTGATGAGGGTAGCTCTGTAACTGCTGTTTGACTTAAACTTAAGGACTTCAAATGTTCCATTGGCTCCAAAATCTCTGGAAAGTTTTCAAATTTAGAGCACCTATGGAGATCGAGATTTTTCAACTTACACCTGCTGCTTGGAAGTTTCTTAAGGTCTTCGCATTGCCTTAAATTCAAGTAAGAAATATTTTCGTTACACCAAACTGATTCAGGCAACTCCTTTATACCACTGCCTTCTAAATTTAAGTATTGAATATTTCCTGGCATCTCTGGAAGATACTTGAGACTGTAGCAGAATCCAAGATCAAGATGAGTAAGCTTGTCAAGATGTTGAAAATACGAAGGAATTTCAACCAAACTTCGACAGTGCCCGAGATTTATCTCCACAATTTTTAGACTTCTAGAGAGATTTGGAACTTCAGTTAGATTTGAACAGCCCCGGAGATCAATCACTTGTAAGTTGACAAGTATCTGCAACAAATGAAATAGAAATATAAAGAATTAATATAATTTCTACACTTGATTTTATAGGTCGTACCCAGTGCACAAGGCTCCCGCTTTACGCAGGGTCTGGGAGAGGTGAATGTCGGCTAGCCTTACCCCCATTTCTTGAACAATTGTCTTTCCCATTTCTTGTAGCATATCGTGCATCTCTATGCTTTTCGATCCCCAACTTGGACCAATTGATATGAGACACCTATTAATGAGAATATCAATTCCGGTTTTCGGAAAGCGTCCACATGAAGCTAACCTTCGTTTTACCTCAACCACAGGCTCCCCTTTATAAAAACATGCTATATCCAGAAATATATCCTTCTCATTTTGTTCCAATCCATCATAACTTATTCTCAACATTTTCTGGATATCTTTGCTGGGAAATCGTTTCAATTTGTTGAATTCCTCTTCCCATTCTTCTTTGCTCTTGTAATTGAAGAACAAGGACCCCAGAACTATAAGAGCTAAAGGAACACGTCCAGCATAATGCAAGGCCTTTTCTACCAACTCCTTATAATCTGTTCTACGAGTACTGTTATCCTTGAAAGCACGCGAACAAAAGAGCTGAAGAGTGTCATCCGGTTGTAATCCCTCAACCTCGTAGATATTATCCCCTTCAACAGTTTGCCCAAGTGTGCCCCTATCTCTAGTTGTGATAATGATTCTACTTCCAGTGCCATACTGAAGACGATCGCCAGCTAAACGTTCCATTTGCATTGAACTACTCACATCATCAAGAACAATGAGGACCTTTGTACGACTGAGCCTTTCTTGAAAAGTTGATCCTATGGGCAAAAAAGCTTCTTCCTTTAATATCTCCTTAAAAAGTGTTTTTTCCAAGTGATCTAGTCCACCTGCTTGTTCTGAGTTCTCCCTAACATTCTTTAGAAAACAAGAAGCTTCGAATTTAGAAGAGTGTCTGCGAAATACAGCCTCGGCAAGGGTGGTCTTGCCAATACCACCCATGCCCCAAATACCTACAGTGATGCAAGCGCCCGGTAAATGAATGCCTAACAGCGATTCAATCTGCTCGATGCGGCTTTCAATTCCAACAAAACCCTTTAAATCGCAGGATGATTCACGACACATTTTGGCCCAAATATGATCGACAACTTTCTGAATTAGATTTGCCTCCGTCTCCGTCCTGGAGTATAGACGTATATGATTAGGTAGAAAAGCAATAGTTAGTCTCAAATACGCTTTACCAAATCTTAGCACAAATCAAACTGTTAAAGAAAATTTATAACTTTAGACAAGTTAAAGAATGAGCTAGTTACCCGGATTTGTTTGAATAATCAAACCCAGATAGATTGGCTGCAGTCGTCAAAGCATCCCTCCACTTGTGCACCTTGTCGATACTGTTGTCGAAACGTTTTTCAAGTTGAGCAAATGCATCCGCATAACTCCCGTGCTGTTTTCGTACATCAGATGGATTGATGTGGTAGAATACGGGTATAACCATCTGGCCATATCTTTCCTTGCACTCGAGTATGTGCACGAGTTCATCTAAACACCATGTGGAAGAAGCATAGTTTTGTGAGAAAATGATCACCGAAATCGTGGATTTCTCGATTGCCTGTAGAAGGGCAGGTCCGATTTCTTCTCCACTCTGAAGTTTGTAATCGATGTAGGTTTCAATTTTCTTCTGAAGTAAGGCAGCATGTAGATGGCTGGTAATACCAAGGCAGGTGTCCTCGCCTCTGAAACTGATAAACACATCATACTTTTTTCGACGTGGGGGGTTATCAGCAGCGGATGATGAAGAAGAAGCAATGTCCATAACCTCTAGTTTTCAGAAACAGCAAAAAGATGTAGTTGCAGAGAGATTAATTGTTGATTAGAGAGAAATAATACTACGACGTTGCACCGAATTAAGAGGATGCAAGAGGGGGGGGGAGAGAGACTAGTTCAGAATTTACTTGAATTGGCTTTTGACTACATGCACAAAATTTCAAAGGCTCGAAATCAACGAGTGAGAGATACGAAAGTGGAAAATTGGGCACATGATAGGACCTATTTTCTTTAAAAACACTATAATTTAAAGAAAGATATTCATATATTTGCAATCTTAATATGAACAACGTCATCTCAGCATGTAAAGCAACTAGTATTTGAAAACCATAAAATGAATAAGTGTAAACCTTTTCTCCTTGCTTTGCTCCCCTCACAATCAGTATCATCATCGTCACCTGATCGATTCCTGCAAATCAAGTTTTAGTTATGTTTCATACAGTCAAAAAACAAAAATCAGATTATGCATATACCAAAAAACACCACACAAAAAGGAAGAGCCCTATGCGAAAAAGGATGCAAAATCAACTTGAGACCTCTTTCTCCTGTTCTCTGCCTTGTTTTCTTTTTCCATTTGCTCTCTCTTTCAATCTTTTGTACTGAAGCTTTTTCAGAACCTGTGTTAAGAGAACCGTTGAATCCAAACGTCAAAAGGAAGACAATTGATAAAGATGCAAACAAAACAAAGTGACACCGGTGACAGGTCACCAGCCAAGAAATTAACAGCAGACATAACAAAAATTAATTAGCAATTTAAATGCCAGCATAACATAACACCTAAACTTATTAATTAAAAAGAAATGACAAAAAATACAGAAAGAGCCTTAAACAGTATCAATAAACGCTGACTAACCTCTGACAAGTTACCAATTTGACGAGGGCTTATTTGCTTTCTCCAGCTTCAAAATAATATCCAAAACAATTACTTTTTGCATCATCAGCATCAGCAAGAGCAGCAGCGGATGAAGAAGAATACGAAGAAGAAGAGGCCAATATCCATAACCAACCTCTAGTTTTCAGATCCAGGAAGTAGTAGTTGCAGAGAGATTAATTGTGAATAGAGAGAAAGAGAGAGAGACTGGTTCAGAATTAAGGAGGATTCAGCAAAGCAAGCGAGAGAGAGTAGTTCAGAATTAAGGAGGATATAATGAAACGAGAGAGAGATAGAGAGAGAGAGAGAGAGAGGGAGACTAGTTCAGAATTTACTTAGAATTGGCTTTTGAGGAAAAGCAACGAGTAAGAAACGACCAGTTACAAAAGTATAAAGGGGGCACATGGGATGTGGCCCTCCCTTGCGCGTTATGCGTCCACGGTTTTGAATCGGGAATACTAGTACTAAATTTGTAAATTATATAATGTGTGATTACTATAAAATGAGCATGTTTATTAATATTTAAGTAATAATTCAATCTTAAATTTCTATGTCATTTAGTTTATAAATTTAATCTCTCTAGCATTACTCTTTTTCCAATTAGTTGGTCACCAATTTCTTCTAAGAATTTTCCAAGCACTTTCGTTCGAGGATATTTTAATAAGGTGTGTTATCCACACACCTCATTTTACTTCTCACACACCTCATGTTAATTTATGTATGTTGATCTTCTTCATTTCATCTGATTTGATGATCGAAAATTAAAAAGGTGTGTGAGAAGTAAAATGAGATGTATGGATATCACACCCCTTTAATAATTTTCACACAAAAAGTGCACTTCACACTACAAAATCTTGGAAGGCAGAGTAAAACTCTCCATAGCCTCTCTAGGCTCGAAAATGGTAAATAGTCGTGACTTGCCACCATTTGTCCATTTAAAAAAAAAAAAATATATATATATATATATATATATATAGTTGTTGATTGAATAAGATTTGGTATCTGACCTTCCAAGCACAGGTGACAGATCAAGTCATTTGACTATGAATGATTTTATGAATGAAAAATCATTAAGTCTCAGAGTCATTTAGTTTGATATCAGCATAATGTATTACAAACTCATTAAAACTATCAATCTCATCACCATGCTATGATAAGAATCAAACTAAACATGTGAAACCCCACCCCCAAATTTTATGAAATTCCACATTTTACTTAAAGGTTTTCAAATTTTTACATTTCAGTCCCTCACTTCCTACCCAATCAGGATCCTCTTTTTAGATTTCCTCTCCTCTCATTGCTTGCCATGAGGCAGCCCACTAACTCCTCCCTATCACTCTTCCCTCGAGTTCACTCTCTTTCTCAGCTCACTCTTCTCTCACTTTCACACTATTTCCCTCTCTCTTCCTAATCGAACCCACACCCACACACACCCATAAGGACACCCCCGACGATGACACACCATCGCCACCACCCTCGTGACTTTGTGTCCCTCTCTCCGCTTGGACATTCTTGTAATAGCACATTCCGCTTGTATTCTGAATTAGATGTATGCTCTGAACATGTCATGCATTATCACTATGCTTTCATTGTAGGCAGTTGAATATTATTATATTATTTTAAGTAGTTTGAACGAAATTTATATGCATGTTTCATATGTTCTCAGCATTTGCATTCATAAATGGCTTGCATCACCCTCAGGTGTCGGCCATCACGTGACTATCCCGATGTCCCACGGACATCAGGATTGGGGCGTGTCAAAACAGGTCTTAATAATTATTCATTAATAATCAATGGGCTAGTTTGCCACTTCTATTTCTGAAGCTATCGAGAGGTCATAAGAGAGCCTGAAATTATGTGTCTTGTCCCAAGTAAACGAGTCATGATCCACCATCTCTCTCTATCCATCTAGGCACCAAACTAAGCAATAGACAGATAGAGGTAGAAATTGGGAATAGAAAGCAAGCAAGGGAGGAGAGAGTAGTTGCCCGCTGAGACTAGATCAGTTTGAGTTCAACAATTGTACTAGTTGACCTGACTTACAAAAAGGTTACAAAAGTTCTCTATGCTCTGGACAATCAGACGGAGATGTCGAATAAAAAAAAACGGATAAATGAAATTTCCCAACTCAAGAACCTTACTTTCCCCGTATAAAAATTCAAAGCATTCCAACATATGAAGAAAGACAAAATAAGGGCACACCAACATCTGTTCATAACTTTCATTACAACCAATGTCTTAAATGTCAATAATATCGGCGATATTTCGTCGATATTATCGGTTTTTTGCTTTAGCGATATTTTAATAGGTATCCAAGGAGTTTTCGTCAAAATATCGCGATATTATCGATAATATCGCGATATTACCGATAATATCGTGAAATTTTGGATCTGTGCAAATCGGAGAAGAACGCCGGAGCTTCTACAGCTCCGGCCTACTGTAAAAGAGCACCCTAGACTCCGATCTAGGTATCAAAATTAAATAGAAGACGAGAGGAATGTTTTTATAACTTCTGTTTGCCGTGAAACGGTTGAAGGTATTCGGAAAGTTCGTCGACATTCACGGCCTCGCCGGAGCTGGGTGTGCCTTCCCCCGGGTCAATCTCCTTCTAAAACCTTGTTAAAAAAATCAGATAAAACTTAGTATATCTCGATTCTCAACCACACCACACAACATCCAAGATGAATTGAGGGCTTACCTAACCGGAGAAGGATCAAGAGAACTCGTCGGAGAGTTCCTGGGTTCCACTGTTCTAGCTGCACCGAGAGAAAGGGAGAGAAAGACGAGGTTTAGCTTGTCTCTGTGAAGATGAGGGAAGAGAGAGTGCTGCCGACGAATTTCTGCAGCGCGTCTGTGAAGATGAAGGAGGAGACAGTGCAGAGAGAAACGTATCTGTGAAGATGATGGAGGAGACGGTGCGGGGAGAGAGAGAGAGAGAAAGAAAGAGAGAGAGACTTTAACATACCACCCAAGGTGGACGGGAGACTTAAACAAACAAAACCATGGGCTCTGATGGTTGTAACTTGTAATTATGAGGTGGACAGGTGACGTGAAAGAGGTGAGGTGCACCTATGATGGTTTTAACTTTTAATAATGAAGGCCATCCATTTATATTTTTAAAAGTTTAGGATATATTATATATATATATATATATGTTATATAAATTATAAATTATAGGTTATTTAGATAATATTTTGTTTTTTTTACTAAGCAAGCAGATTATATTCGAACCCTCCCTTTGTCAACCATGCACCTGAGCCTTATCCAACTCGCTACAGATGTGTTTGTGATTGCATATTCAGCCTGTAATATTTATATGGTTGTTAAGATGTCTGCAAGGCTTGCAAGCTAATATTTATTATCTAGGATAAATTTCTATATTTTAAAAAACACCAAGGTGAAAATTTTGAACCTCATAGGAACTCTATGTGGTACTAAGTCACTCATGTATCTTACCATACAATGTATAAAGTGTAAAATATTGTACTAATTCATTATATATAAATGATTATGGTGTGTTTAAACTTCTTTCATTAATTACTACATATTTTCTACACTCACAATGTTTGCCAGTTCGCTATATAATCAACTTGATAATGTTAAATCCATCATGCATTTCCTTCCAATTTTTTGTGATAAACTAATAGATAATTGACTAAATAAACATCCTGCAAAGTTTCAATAAAAATTTCCAAGTTTTTCTTACAATTTCCGTGGTTTCCATATTATTTTTATCGATATCGATAATATCCCGATATTTCCGTATTTTCGGATTACCGATATTTCCGATATCATCGATATTTAATACATTGATTACAGCTGACAAGTCACAACTCACAAGTCATCCCTTACGCACTTTATGTACAAAGTTTTTTTTTTCTATCGTACTAGTTTAAGCTTTGATCAGCAAGCCGTCCAACGGAATTTAATCTTGACAAAGATAGCTAACCTACACCTGGTGAGTCACCGTAGCACTCAGTAACGTACCAAAATGTACACGACTCTTCAATTGAAGATAAAAGCAAACTAAAATATGTATAGCCCTTTGATAAAATGTATATGTATATTCTATATATGTGTGTGTGTGTGTAGGAGTGTGATATACAGGAAGTCAATGAACAATTGATGTGATATACAGGAAGTCAATGAACAATTGATGAGCCTGATAAAATTCTCTCTTTGTTGGCGAAATGTTTTGAAGTCGAGAAGACCTCATTGGTGAAGTTCGTAAGATAGCATTAATGCAAAAGTTCGCGACCGTTATTAAACGATCTAAGACAAATACATGTGTTGTTATTGGTTGCGATAGACGTGGGTATTATTGAGTCTCTAAAACTTCACTAGATGAAAGAAAGAGAAACTCAAGATCTCTGCTCGTAATTGTCCATTCGAAGTCAGGAGGCATCAAAAGAAACGTGAAGAATTTTGGAAACTAGAGATAAAAAGTTTGTTACATAACCATGAATTTTCGAATGACACGTGTGGACATGTGTGGACATCCTTATATTGGAGTTTAAAGATAAGCCTGAAAAGTTGCCTGTTACTCAAAAAGAGGATACCAAAAGACAACTTTGTGAATTTCTTGATACTTCTATTCCCTCAATTCTTGAACCTAATGTTAAACCTCACAAAGGATATCTGGTAGGGTCCAAAAATAGAAAAGAATCAAGCTCTACAAAGTGTAGTCCTTTAAAGTTTGAAATAGTAGAGAAGACTTAGAAACGTTCTCGACAGATATGTCATTATTTATTGATTTGTCTTTTGATATAGTCATGATTATTTATATATACGTATAACACTTAATGTGCATAATGATTTGCCAAAAAAACTTTTTATTAATTATATATATACTAAAAAGAGGAAATGAACTAAAATATCGTTCATTCTACAGTGTTCTCCCTTATTTGCCCTCGCACTTTAACACTAATTCCGATTGTGTCCCTGCTGCATTTTATTTTTTTATTTTCTTGTTCTTCTTTCTCCGTTCTCTATTTCCTCTAGCTCGATGCTCTCCGCCAGAGTCTCTGGCTTCTCTCATTCTCTCTCTAAAATACCCACCCTCTAAAACTCCTTCTCACCTCTCCTCCTCCGAGCCACTTTCTCTATCTAGAACTCACTCGCCACTGCCTTCTCTCTGATGGTTCAATAGGCCGGCGACGACTTCTACGATTTCGGCGACGGCCAGTCTCGAGGTTGGTCTTAACCAACTCCTCACAAGGTCAGGCACATTCTACACCTATTGCATCTGAAGATCTGCCTCAAATTTGCGATTATCAGTTCAAATCCTAACTGCTGCGTTTTCCGACGAATTTACAGAGGCGGCGAGCTCAATTCCGGCCAGGTTCTGTCAAATTAGGTGGTGATAGGCCACTCGAGGCTTGAACCAGAGGAGGAGAGGAGTAGTTGTTTTCATGGAAGGAATAGAGCAGCAGCAGCGGAGGAGGAGTATGCAGAGGCAAACGTGGAGGAGTAGTTGGGGGTCATCAATTAGAAATGTACTGTTCCAACTAACACATAACCATTTGTTAATTGAACCACTGATACGACAGGCTTTGTTTTTGAGTTTCAATTTGTTGATTATTGCAGGACGATAGGTAGAGAGTGGCACTTTTCTTCATCAGTTGCATTCCAAGCATTTCTTTGGGAGAGGTATAGAGTCTGTACTTAACTTTTTATATTTCAATGTACAAATACTTCCCAATGGAACCGCAAAATTGGTAACAAACACCTTGACTGCTGCATGGCATACGAAACCAACTATGCTCATACATATTCATGGGTTTCTTATAAAGCATTAAACTACGGATTGCTCCTTTGCTACTTGAACACATATTCGCTTTATAAAGATCATGTCTGTGAAAAATCAATTTAAATGTATGTGATAGTGACTGTCTTAAACTGATATGCTCATATACATCAGTAATTCGTATTATGTGGGACAGCTTGAATCCATCTTTTCTTTGTTTGACTTGCTAATTTTTCTTTATTTTTCAATTGCATATAGTGCAATTCACTCTGTTTTAAATTAAGTGGTATATTGAGGTAATTTTGAGAGGAAATATATAAAGCACTCTCTTTGTATTAGTGTGGGTGTATGGTATGTATGGCATCGGATTAAACCGTGAATATTACCAAAAGTTGCTCTACTTCTATCCCCATCGTGTTTTATGTTGAGCTTCTGCAGATACTTTGTTAATTAAAGCAATCACTCTTTATGCATTGCTGTCACCAGTTTCAACGAAATAATTTATGACAAGTTCTCCTTCCGTTTCAGGTTTGTTCCAGACCTGATTTCGTATGCTCGGAGTAATGAACTGAGGATCTTTATTAATCTCGGCATGCTTAACTATTTTGGTACTATGCATGTATATCTATAGATGTAATATGATTATAAGAATATAAACTTTGTAATTTTACTTGCTTCTTGATTATAAGAATATAAACTTTGTTTATTGGTGTTCTAGACAAACACAGCAGTACTGCGCCTACGCTTGAGAGACCTTTGATTGATTTCAGACGTTAGACTTTGTCCATATTGAAATTATCTTTTGAACACTGAGCAACCAATCTTTTGATAACAAAGAACTTAGCTATAAAATCTAACTTCTATAACCTCTGTTTTCTATTGTATATTTTCACAATATTTTAAACACCTGCAGCATCACGTGGGTCTTTTTGCTAGTAATAGCTTAGATGTGTAAAGAATACGTGAAGATCCACATTTGCCATAGTTATCTTGGCTTCCCTTGGAAACTCTTTTCCATGAAAAATACATTCCATCACACATACCACAGGATTCATGCTCAACTTCAATATCTATGTATTAATAACTTTCATTTTACGTGCACGTGAACAACTGTTCTTAGCATTTGCAAATAAGAAGATGCAACTATGCATACCAAAAAATAGTTGAGAGCACATAAAATTGGCATGTACTTGATAAAATTCGAGAAATTCACCGGAGTTGCACGCTTCAATGTAGAGTAGCTAGTGACATACGCCAAACCAACATATACAGTTACAAAATCATGGAAACAATACAAGGTTGTAGCTCCAATTAAGAATGCATTACATTATGTGTCAATGTTTACTTATTACATCAATTCTATGGTTTTGGCCAAGAGATTCCTAATGTTTTATTTAATAGATCTTTCCATGCACATCAAGTAATACAACAAGTTTCAGGGACTAATTAAATAGTGAAAATGAGGCGATCACAAAAGGGAACAACTTACTTCTGATAATAAGAGACTAAAGTCTAATCAGAATGCATATAGGAAAAAAAACATTTCCAGGCCGTATGCTTGCGGTGATGCTACTTCCAAGACAGAACGTTGAAGCATAGGATTGGACTGAGCAACTGCAGAACTGATGTTTTTGCCGTATGACATTCCTGTTGCTGCACCAATAAAAAGTGATGGAGCATAGTAGCCTCCAACTAATCCAGAGGCTCGACACAATGAGGTTGCACCTATCTTGACCACCACCAACTGAAGCAACAAATCAGCTGAGAGGCCTTTCTCCAGTGGTCGAGATTCTAGCAAAATGTCAACACTCTCGAAACCCCGATAAAGAATTTCAGGATATGCCAATGCCATCAGCCCGATAGCCAAGCCACCCACGATAAGCAAGCACGAAAAAACCAAAGCAAAAATAGGCAATGAGTGACGGAAGTTGAGGTTCCACCCCAAATTGGAAGTGGGAGAGTAGCCCGACCCTTTGTAAGTCTATGCAAGGTTCCTTGACTTTCCGACCTGGGACAGTTTTTCACATCCTCCCGTGCCTTGTCACATGTTCCAGCACTCAAGCCAAACAGATAGACAACACACATTCCTATGTGAGACAATTCTTTAACATCCTCACAATGAATAACAAAAAAACAAAAACATGTAAAGATCACTAGCAGACTACAATGCTAATGTATCTCATGAACATTTACAAAAACAAAACATGTAAAGATCACTAGTAGACTACA